AGACACACAGAGAGACATAAACACACCCATACAAACATACATTCACACACACACACACACACACACACACACACACACACACACACACACACACACACACACACACACACACACACACACACACACACACACACACACACACATCTCTCACACACACACACACACACACACACACACACACACACACACACACACACACACGCACACACTCTCTCTCTACACACACACACACACACACACACACACACACACACACACACACACACACACACACACACACACACACACACACACACACACACACACACACACACACACAATAATAGCTTGTCTACATTGGAAGCATTTTCAGCAGTCAATCTCTTGTTTTTCACTCGCACTACACATTCATAAACAACTACAGATACTGCCTAATTTCTTCTCTTTTTAAATGTTAAATGTTGTATATTTACCATTAAAAAATCAAATGTACTGACATTTGAAGAGAAATAAATCAAACCTTATTAATTTGACTGTGTTTTATTAGGAACTGTTAAAGAGACTATAACTGCATGATGGCGTCACATGGAGCAAGTAAACATTGAACATCCAAATCTGCCGAAGGACAAACTGCCATAACGATGGTGTGTGTCAAAAAAATGTTTTTCTATTATTACTAAGAGTGCATGTGAGTGTTTGTCCGCACCTGGCCAGCTGGTCTCCGTGGCCCAGTTGCCCCTCCGACCCGCGGCCCCAGCTCCACACTTCTGTCTCCAGAGAAGGCAGCCCGGCTCCAGCCTCCTCCGGGGCCGCGGTCGGGGTCCGACCTGCAGAGGACGGCCTGCAGGCACAAGGCCTCCGTCGCTGTGGAGACCCTGGAGGAAAATATACATTTGAGCATCTGTCAATGCAGCAAAATGCACTTTGTCTTTAGTATGTAGCAACATACACAACACAACATGTTTTATACTGCTAAAGGGTAAAGGAAATATGGCCAGAGTCACCTTTCCACACAAAGGTTCCCATATAACAAGTGTAACATGAGTCTGTAGCATGTCTATGTTGCCTTTCCTCTACAAATAAACTGCCCCACATTTAATATACAGTTTCTTTACCACCCTGGATGAATGGTACAACGTGGGCAAACACACACAAACAGCACTGAACTGGTTTGGTATGCACGTTCCATAATGACTTTGTGAGCTCCTCTTGCACACACATGATCAGCCACAGTGGTTAACACAGGATATAAATTATTTACTGCTATTCAATATGTAATTAATACATAAAGATGTTAGTGATTACTTAAACTGAAAAGGGTGTATATACTGGATGGTTGCTGATAAGGGATATCACTTTGACACTTTGTTAAGTCTGGTCAAACTGGAAAACAGGAAGATTCAAAATGTCCCTATAGGTTCAACTATCAAAACATTTCTGGATTTTTAACAGACGTTTCTTTTACTATAGATATTCACAACTCACTAAAATTAAGTAAGAAAGTGTGATTCATTCTCAACTTTCCCTATTTTGCATAATAATTGACATTGTGAGTACCGTAATTTTCGGACTATAAGCCGCGCCTTTTTCCCTATTTTTCGACGCTGCGGTTTATATAACGGTGCGGCTAATCTATGGATTTTTACAGCTAACGGCCAACACCTTTAACTCTATGGGCTCTATGGCCGGTCCGCGGACCCCCACCTTTAAGCGGCGGGTTCCAGCAGGAAAAGCTGGAGGCCGGAAAAGAGTGAGACAGGTAGCGCGCAAAAGTAAAAGTGGAACCGAGAGTGATATGCCGCTGCTGCGGCTTATATTCAGGTGCGGCTTATAGTCCGAAAATTACGGTATACCTTTTATGGCTACCAAGAGGTTTTCTGATTTGTAATGTGCAGTCATTTAGATTTTCTCTTAAGAAAAAGTTAATCATTATGTTATCTCAAAAGAAGACAAATAATGTTAACTCAAGATATCATTGTTAATTGTAACAAGTGAGCAAGTGTATGCTGTGTGCACGACTTATTCAGGAGACCTATTATTATCCAGGGAGGCAAGGTGAAAGGCAAACAAGGCAATAACATTTGAATTTCTCTTCCTTGTTGGCCAGGCTGCAACTTCTATGAGAAGTATGTTTTCAGGGTCTGTGGTGGCACCTTTTTAGAAGATGGAAACCACATGTCAAGTTGTATCTGTTCATTTAAAATCAAGCTGGAGCTAGCAGAGTTAGTACTAATATTAAACAAGGAACCTATCAAGTAGCTAAAGGTCAGAGTGCATTGGGAATACAGGATTTTGAATGAAAAGGGCCTTTTCCAGTCGTTTTCATGCAAGTGTTGCCTTTAGGGCATTTCTATTACAATTACATGTCATTTGTTAGACGCTGTCATCCAAAGCGACTTACATAATCAATACTGTGGACAATCCCCACAGGAGCAATTTGGGGTGAAGTGTCTTGCCCAGGGACACAACGACATGCTGACTGCAGTGGGACTCGAACTTGCTACCCCCTGATTTGAAGTCCAGCACACTACCCACTGAGCCACAGCCTCCCACTCTATGATTTAACTATTTGTGAAACTAATTGCCACTTAAAATCTACCAAGCCCACTGCATCCCACTTTTAAATGCTGTAGGTTTCTGTTTCACACATATTTATTTACAGATTTTATCCCACATTTTAGCTCCTTGGTTTGTTTGTTTTTGTATGTGCGTTTACTGTGTTTCTGCATAAGACTTATTACCCCTTGGGGGAATAACAAATACGTTTCAAATTTGAAAGATTGAAAAAAAACAAAGTCTCAAAATCAAAGTTCAAAATGTATGCTACCAGAACAAAAACATGTTAATTAGCTCATGGCTTCACGTTTCTTGGTCGACATCTTCTTCAGTCTTTATGCTAAGCTAAGCTAATAGCCTCCTTGTTTCATGCTCATGGTTCAGGTATAAATCTTCCTATCTAACTCGTTGTAACAAAGTAAATGTTTCCTAAATGTGGTCAACATCCTGCCATTCCTACCACGGGTGGGTGTTCCAGGTAGGGAGCGTCTCCTGTTGGCTGCTGCGTTCCCCTTCTGGTTTATATTTGTGAGACTGGTGCTCTTCTGCCCCTGTAGTGCCTGTTTCTCCGCCTCCAGACAGAGCCGAACTTCTTCCAAACACACTGGGGAGGAGGAGTACGCCACAGCCACTCCACTGTTACAGTAGGAAAGAAGATCAGAGATCTGGCATCATACATGTGTTTACGCTGAGAAACATCCTGATATGTGAATACTTCACAATGACTAGGTTTTCACTGTTTATCTGCATTAGTAAACCTCTGTATTAAAATGAAAATCTTCTAGTCAGACTTGCCTTATTTTTACAGTAATTAAACAAGTATTAAATTGGTTTAAAACAAAAGTTGCAATTCAAATGTTCTTTATGCTATTTGAGTGTCAATCTCTCAACACAATATTATTGAAAAATGTAATTCACTGCCTAAAAAAAGTGCATCACTCTCAACTTTAGTGAAATTGGCTTTACTTGTTGGATTGACCCTTAATTGGTGAGTCTTCTTTGTAACTGGAAGTCAACACATCCGTGGAAGGAGTCGAGGAAACACAGCTGTCATCTGGTAAGAATCATGGCAAGAGGGAATGAATACAAATATTTTTACACACAACGGATCTAGCAAAGCAATGAATAACCAATAAACAAGCTACATACATGAACAAATAGAAAAACTAGTGAAAAAGAATAAACAAATGAATGGGAAAACGCAAAAAGAACACAGGGATACAAATTTGAAAGAAGTAAACACAAAAGAACAAATAAACAAACTTCTACACGAAGACAGAAGAAAGAAAACTAAATTCCCAACCTGAAGTGTAACTGCTCAGTGAGTCAGTGTCTCCTGGGCCGGTACTCTGGTGAATCTCCAAGGGCTGACTGGAGAGTTTCTGGAGGAGGTTATTAATCTCCGTTCCATCAGAGGACGCAGAGTTCTTATTGGCTCTCCAGCCTAAGGGCCGGTGAGACTTTGGGCTGCTGTCAGTCTCACTGAGAGGGTGCCCAAATGCAAGATTAGTCCTGACGTTTTGCAATGGAGGAAAGAGGTTACAAAGAGAACATTTGAAAAACAAAACGACTATATGAGGGATAAAACAAAAAACAATACCGTACTGTTTAGTGTAAGATTTGCCATCTTCAGAATGTGGACATGAACCGGTTGCAGAGCCAGGACTGCTGCCAGCTGACCTTCCCCCAGGATGCAGCCTTCGTCTGGGGCCTCTTCTTCTGGGAGAGCTCTGGGGATGCAAACCATAGAGGGGCATCAACGCAGGCTGAAAAATCTAAACTTTATAAATTAGCAAAAAACTGAAGGCTGTCCAGAAACACATATTTTTCTTCTGTTTCTTCTTCATGGTGTATAGTTACCTCGCCTGTCATGAACTCACTCAGCTCCACCCCCAGCGGACAGTAGTGACCGGCATCCACTGCAAGCTGCTCTTCCCTTTCAGTCACTGAATAATGAGGTGACTGACCCCGCTCCCTCTTCTCAGAAGGATTCTGGGTCTTCTGTGGAGGTAAACTGCGAACCACGGCCAGGCTGTGGTAGGCACCACAAGCCACCTGTTGAAAAATAAATAGAGAGGATATTCCCGGACACAGAATAGAGTATTTTATTGTAAGTTAAATCTGGCAATGAACATTTCAGGAAGAGAAACTACCTGAATAACATGTCTGCCTGCCAGATGCTCCACCTGTTCCAGTGTTTAAAGGGATTAATAACATGAACACAGTTTTGTCAGTTGCTCACCTGCACAAACATTCAAAAGCACTATTGATCTACCAGTGGTGGAATTTTGAATGCTGAAATTCATTGAGCTTTATATAAATTACCTTCTTAGGTCTCCACACAGGAAAGGTACTGGTGACCAGTCCGAGCTGGCAGCCGCTGCCCCAGGCCCACAGCTCGTTCTGGGCCGACAGAGCCAGGCTGTGCTCCCGTCCAAGAGCCAGATCCACAACCCGAACCCCTGCTGGAGGAACGGCCTCGCTGTCCACCACTGTGACCGGGCAGGGCTCTGAAACTTACACAGAATGTTCCACATAAGTTTTCCCAAAAATGTTGTAATGGATGAAAACAAAAAATGTATAGAGCACTTTCCAAGCAGAAGTATGATGGACAGAAAACCTGGTGGGAAGAAAAGAAGAAAGGAAGAACGTCGACCAACCTGTGATGTTTGTGACTGTGTCCCTCTCAGTCAGCCCACACTGTCCTGCAGTGTTCTCCCCCCACATGTAGACGTTGCCCTGCTCGCTCAGTGCTCCACAGTGAAAACCACCGGCAGCCACGCGGACCACCACCCTCCCCATCAGAGAGGCCTCCAGCAGGGGAGCAGACACCGGGACGCTCAGATCCCTCCATGACAACTCTCCAAAAGAGTACACCTGTCCACCTGAAAGACAGCAACAGTAGAAATCAGCGTTTCCGCCAGGGGGCCGTCTTGCCGTCATTTGACTCAGCTCGGGACGCCCCGAACGCGAGCCGAGGGCGTCCAAGCATATTAATAATTCGTGAGAAGCTCGAGAGTTTTTATCGCTTGAGATAACGAAAAGGAAAAAGGACAAGGACATCCCTCTGTTGGAGGGGCAAAGGTGCCTGCTACAGGACACGGAATGTGCACGATTTGGACGCGATGAGCGGGGGGGTTTTAGTGGAGCACGCGCGTGAGCTGCTAGCACCAGAGCCTCGCAGCGGCGAAACTGAGGCTCCGTGGTAAACTGTGGCAACATGAAGAGCCGTTTGGGAGCCGGAAGAGCCGGCGGTTTAAGAGAGCCGAGCCAAATGATCCGGCTCACTAACGTAAAAAGACAGTATCTATAAGGGACGGCTCAAGTCAAAATTTAAGCACCCCCGCCCCCCGCTCTCGGGGTGGACGCCCTCTCAGCCCTGGTCTGGCGGAAACACTGGTAGAAATAGATGTATTGACTTTAAAGGTCTTCAATATAATAATAACCAGCAGCAACTTTAAAGCAATCCCCGCCTACAGATATAATGTATATAAAAAAACCTCTCACTTTTCAATACAAATGTATTTCTCCTCATTACAATACCATGTTATATTGACACACCCACCCTGTGTGAGCAGGAGTCCATGGTGTTCTCCAAGGGCCACCTGCAGGACGGGCCTGGCCAGCAGCACTCTCCCCGGACAGAGCTGCGCCAGGGGGCCTGCTGACTGCCATGTGTGGAGCAGGCCTCGCTCTGGAGGAGTAGGGGCCTGTTCGTCTGCAGGGCTGCAATATTACGTACATACAAATGCATCATAAAAAATAAGGCTGAAAGCCACCTCAAATAGAGATAACCCGATCATGATTCAGCCTAAACACATGTGAACACAAGTACCAAATTTGAACCACCATCCAAGTTATGAAACCACCTGTGATTTCTAATTGTTTTATGTAATGTGATTCACCGACATTAACATGAGTTCTCTCAAAGTTGGATTACATTCCAAAGCATTCATCCCTAAACCTAAACTTGTTAATTCAGCACCAGCAGGCCATGACATGCAGATATCAGTGGTCCAATCACAGGTCTAGTCACACATAAGGGAAACAAGATTTGGCATCTTGTTTTGATATTTAACATTTTTCCAGTTGAGGTTGTTAAGGATATATAATCAGGACAGAGTGCGTGTGCGTGTGTGTGTGTGTGTGTGTGTGTGTGTGTGTGTGTGTGTGTGTGTGTGTGTGTGTGTTTACCTCTCCTCTCTGTTTTCCATTACTTCAGACTATCCATTCCAGAGGACAGTGAAGGCATCTTTTTTGCATTTTTCTGAAGTGTATTAACGTTTTCCTGTCTGGCTTCAAGCTCTTGTTATTTGTAGTACACCTGTTGATAATAAAAAAAAGATATATTGATTGACAAGAATAAAAACTGAAATGTGCCTTCACCATGAACATTTAGAGACCTTATTATGAATACACTCACAGTCCTCAGCAGTTTGAGAAACCTTAAATTACGATTATATAGACAAACTAAGAACTTAATTTCAGGAAGGGAGGTTTGTGATTGCTATGTCAGTCACGGGGAGGACGAGGAGTGGTTTCTTTTATCTTTACTGGATTCTGTTGACAAGTCCCCACAGCTCAATACTCAGTGAAACTATGTGAGAGCTGGGTCATTGTTGTCCAGTCTGTGGTAGGTCTAGGCAGTCTAAGCCTGTTAGTAAATTACACAGAGATTAGCTTAAAAACAGCAGACATGTTCTGTCACCGAGTGAAAATAGAGACCATTGTTGCTATCTTGCCAGCTTTGCATGTGTCAACAGTTTAGCATATAGCGATATTAACTCTCCCCTTAGATAAAACAGCAATGTTGTGTGTTATAAGTTAGAGTTAGGCTAAAAGACTGAAGTTGGTTAGCTTAATGCTACCGCTGCTAAAGAAGCTAACTAAACTTACCAACTCTCGGTTTGAAGTCGTCGTCGGTGAGACTTTGTGAAACTGCAGCTCTGTTAAGCCGGGTAGCTGTGTGCAGCTGTCACGGCAGAAACACCCAGCTATGACATTTACTTCATATTCAAATCAGTGCAGCGCAGTGAAAGCAGAAGTTGTATCTGACAGTTGTGTGTTGGGATCCACCTCTCTGACGGCAGCCGCGCAGGGACAAACATCGGAGCCGTGCCACACCTGTGGCTGCTGCAGTGTGTCAAAGAGGGGTTAGAGAAATGAGGAGGGGCCTCTCTGTTATTTCCAGTGCTGGGGTCTGGCTGCCAGCATGACCTTTTCAGATACAGAATTCTAACCTTCTTTACTTAGGCCAATACAGACCGCATCTGCTATTAAAATAGCAGTTTCCCCCCCCCCATATGCCTAGTTTCAAAGTTAATGCAGGTTATTGTTGGCCGTTTTTTCCTGCTATAGCCCATACATGTACTGTTTAAACAAGAATATAATAATAATAATAATAATAATAATAATAATGTGGAGCGCAGCGCTCAAGGTTTTATTCCTCAATCCATTCTCAAATATGTGAAAGTCTATGCTTAACCGTGCATTAAATATGTTTAATTATCAATGTAAGCAATAACTGTAATTGCAGCACAGCGTATTTACTTACTAATATTGTCCACTAAAGGTATTTGGTGGACTTCCCAAATTCATTTTTCAAAATATAATTAACAAAAAAACCATCATATTGTTAGTTCCACCTTTGCCATCTTCAACATTAGACACAAGTGGTGAAAGCATTTGTGCATTATTAATTATAATCCAATAATATCCTATCATGTACATTATTTCGAAGTCAGTCAACATAATAAGTACCTTTACTTTTGCTACCTTAAGTATATTACTAAGGACTTATTCTCAAGAGATGTTTCTACTGTAGTATTAATACTTTTCCTTGAGATAAAGTTCTTACAACTTCTTCCAGCACTATGTATTTTTTGTATCATCCTACTTCCATAATGGCTGCTACATTTTAAGTATTGTGTACCTATGAGTGAATGTGTGTTAGCACAGGATACGATGGGTTCCTCAGCTGTGTGTTGAAACAGCAGAGGTCTCCCTCCTCTGAGCTGCACAAGCAGAAATGGCTACACCACACCTTCCCTTTTATGGCTCCGATTGCCGCCCAGATGTTGAGCAGCAGTACCAGCACTCAAAAACCACTGAAACCTTTAAACTTACAAATGTTGGAAAAATACACACAGAATAACCCTTTGAGTCCTTGGATACAACATAAGACGACACAGGATCATGTTTTACAGCAATACATTTAGTGATAATGTTCAGTTGTCCCTCAGCAGTATTCTCTGTTTATATTTGAATCATCCCTCTATTGTGTATAAAGGGTGTGCAGTCCATGACAGAGAAGCTCTACGCAGTTTTTCCATGGATCTGGTGTCTGGAGGTTCAGTGAGTCAGCCTCTGAAGAAATACCTAAAGCTAAATGCAACATCTGCTCATTTGCTCCTCAACATTTAGTGTTATTTTATTGCTCCTGACTCACACACCGCCGATGCAAAAAAGAAATAAAAAAAGTGGCCATGGTTATGTTTGACAAAGAAAGACTTTGATATATTTCCAATTGCAAAAAGTATTAACCTCAAATTATCTCTGTTGCAAGAGGCCCATTTGAGTATCAGATTCTCACAAATGTCCCAACACAGTCCTCAATCCCATTACATCACCCTGTGGTTCCTTACCCTTTGGGCATCCACAACTCTCTTTTTTTACTCCGAAGATAAACAGTGATGCGTCATTTCTACAATTTACCCTTTCCTCGCTATTATTAATGTACATTAACAACTCGGTCAATACATGTATATAAATGTATATATATATTATAATACTAGATAATTTTTCC